GCCCAGGATCTGAACCTAACAAAAAGAAACGAGAAAACAAAGTGGTTAGTCATTGGCCTAGCCGTGACATATACCTGAAATGTCCAAAGCCAAGTTCAATTTGCCGTCTCTTCCTTCAAACATTGGTGACAGTGCCAGGGCTTCCATGAGCAACTGTAAAAATTCTCTCCTAGGGCCACCAAGGTCCACAGCCTCTTTACCCATTCCCAAGTCATCTGAAAACTTGATGCACATCTGGTACATGGGCTTATAGGACAGTCGTCTGAAGCCCCACAGAGCACCATCCATTACTGAAGACCAATAAATGTTGAACTTGCATCTTTGGTTACATTTTGGGATGCAAGATTGAGGAGCACCTCCTGTGTGCTGATTTAGTGTTTAGTAAGAAAAAAGAAAAAAGTATCAGGATAGGGATAAGATCATACTTTCTGGACAATGTGGTATCCTCACACAAACTATGTCAAATAAGCATAGGTCATAATTCCCCTTTTTTAACCATTACCGCTAACTACATTCTAAATCATACAATAGCTCTTGTAGATATAAATGTTAATTTTTTTCCTTCCAGTGTTTATACATATATTTGGGTACAGTGTGAATTTAGCACAAGCAAATGTGATGCAACACTGGGAATTGCAAGCTAAGAAACAACAGCCCACTGCATTAATTCATAGAAACAGCATGTAAGGGGTACCTGCATCTCTTAATCTTTATACACAACTTCTGGTATAGCCTCTACATAAGCATGGTGGGAACATCTGAGCAGTCCTGGCTGGTATTCCTATCCATAGGCAACATTGTAATAAGTCACACCAGATTCCAGTTATGCTTACCCTGCTCCTGTTACAGTGGCAAACCTGGAGTTCAGTCAATGAAACAAGATTGGAGGTGTGGGTTAGAGCTACACTGACTCATAAAACATTTTGAGTTTGCTATTCACAGGAATCATCTGCTGATGTGAACCATGGCTCACAAAAAAGAGATCTCAGAAGTTCTGTGGCTACTCTCCCTAGAAGTGGGTGCCCAGCTAAGATGACTCCAAAGACACAACACAGAATGTTCAACGAGGTTAAAAAGAAGCCCAGAGTAACAGCTAAAGGCTTAAAGGAACCATTAGAGCTGGTTAACACCTTTTTTCATGAGTCTACCATATGCAAACCATTGAACAGGCATGGTGTCCATGGCAGGACTCCACAGAGGAAGCCTCTGCTCTCCCAAAAAAAACATTGGCACTCCACAACACTACTGGGAAAATGTCTTGTGGACTGATGAAACTAAGGATGAATTGTTTGGGATGAACATGCAGCACTATGTATTGTGTGAAAAGGGCACTGCATACCAACATGAAAACATCATTCCAACAGTGAAGTAGGGTGGAGGGAGCATCATGGTTTGGGGCTGCTTCGCTGCCTCTGGGCCTGGACAGTTCACCATCATCGAGGGGAAAATGAATTCCCAAGTTTATCAAGGTATCTTTCAGGATAATGTCAGGGTGGCTGTCCAGCTGAAGCCCAGTAGAAGCTGGGTTATGCAGCAGGAAAATGACCCTAAACATGAAGTAAATCTACTACACTACAAAATGACTTCAAACAAAGAAAATCCACCTTTTGGAGTGGCCCATTCAGAGCCCAGACCTTAACCCAATAGAGATGCTGTGGAATGACCTCAAGAGAGCCGTTCGGACATCCTAAGAATATGGCTGAGCTGAAGCAGTTCTGTAAGGAAGAATGGTCCAAAATTCCTCCTGAACGTTGTGCAGGGCCCTGTTTCCCCAAAGCATCTTAAGGCTAAGATGAACTTGGCCCTATTGTAAGTCAATGAGCTAAGATCATCTTAGCTTTAAGATGCTTTTGGGCCCAAAGCCCAGGTCTGATCCACAGCTACCAGAAGAGTTTGTCTGAGGTTATTGTGCCAAAGGAGGTTAGACCAGTTATTAAATCCAAGGCTTCACTTACTTTTTCCACCAGCACTGTGAATGTTTAATGGCTGTGTTCAATAAAGACACCAAAGATTATAATAGTTTGTGTGTTACTAGCTTAACAACATTGTGTTTGTCTATACTTGTGACTGTGATGAAGATCAGATCACATTTTATTACCAATTCATGCAGAAAACCAGATAATTCCAAAGAGTTCACTGACTTTTTCTTACCACTGTGTATCTGAAATTACTGCACTCATTAAACAATGCCATAATAACCAGTCACTTACGCATGACTCTAAAGACTGGCTATTATAGCCTGGTTTAATTCCTCGTCATCAGAAGAAAGGTCTGAGATGGAACCCATGATCGAAAGGTAGGCAGCATAGTCGTCATTGCTAGCTGATGGAGTCTGCTTCACTGCGGCAACACTATATCAGTCACTGACACTGGATGCTTGCTGTGCTGCAAAGGGCTGGTTAGCTCTGGCCCTTCTTGTGAAAGGATAACTAGAAATCTGCTGTGTTGATGCAATTTGGTTTCCCCTGGCCCTTGTGGTCATACTATCACTGGTCTGACTGGCAGTGGTAATTCTGTGGTCACTATGCTGATGTAGTGTCAACCTCCACACAACTGTCTTCTGAATCTGTGCTGTCAAACTAAAACACAACAAAAAATATGTATTTAGAAAATGTTGGGGTTAAGCCTATTGCCAACCCATGAAAACTGTATACTCCAATTGGGACAAACACACTGCTTCACATTATTTTTAAATAGCTTACCAGAAATGGAAGATTGCTTGATGGCCTAATGTACACCGCCTTTGATCTGAATACCTTGTGAATCATAAAGCCTCTCAGTTCCTGACCCTCGCGCAACTTTGGTGAAACCAGTTTGTTTCCACATGCCATCAAAAGTTCAATACTGAAAAAATAACAAACAAGAAAAACTAGAATTCAATTTCAAAACCAGTCTGTCACAATGAACCCATGAACTATAATGTGCAATGTCTTAATATTCCAATAATATAATACCTGACATCCTCGGGAATTCTGTCCTTGAAAGCCACTTACAATCAAGGCAAGACAATCAAACATTTAGAGGACAGTTACTCAAGAGCCTTGTCTCTTACATAATGCATTACATAAAATTTTTTATCTGTAATAGGAACGCCTGCTCACCCCACGTCGAGAGGAAGATAACAAATTTGAATGGTGCAAGTGACAAAGTCAGAGCGACCACAAAAACAGATTTAAACTGTTGGACTGTATCGGTCTGAAACACAATTTCCATGTGTTGCAGTTTATTTATGATCATATATGTAACAGAGGTTAAACTATACAGTTTATATTATTTATATGGTTAAACTAGGGATGCACGATATTGGATTTTTGCCTATATCCAATGTGCCGATATTTTCAAACTCATTTTGGCCGATTGCCGATATAGTGTGTGTGTGTGTGTGTGTGTGTGTAATATATGTATTAGAGATGCACGATAACTATCGGCATCGATAATTATCGGCCCGATATTGCAAAAAATTACACCATTCAGATAACTCCGATAATAAAATTTTCACCGATAAATATAACCGATATAAGAAACCTAAATTCCTTAGATGATAATAATAATAATAATAATAATAATAATAATAATAAATGTTCATTTGAAAATGTTCATTTGAAAAATTGGAACTGTTCTTGTTTTTATTGTGATTACAACAGTAGTGATATCATTTATATTTGGTTAGGACAGAGGCAGAGCTATAATGTTAAATTCATCTTTGCTCACTACATCTTAGCCTTTCTTACACTCAACTAGGGATGCACGAAATAGCCATGGCAATGTATCGCACAGCTATTTTTAGCGCAATAACAGCTATCCCTGGTATGTGGCGTTTTTCCCGTATGTTTTTCAGTGGCTGCGGGTGAGCTAGAAACAGGGGAAGTGGATAAAGGGGAACAGGCTGAAAGTAATGATAGATTTAAAGGTAGTGTTTCCGCTTCCCCTGTTTCCAGCTCACCCGCAGCCACTGAAAAACATACGGGAAAAAACCTAACGCCACATACCCGGGATAGCTGTTATTGCGCTAAAAATAGCTGTGCGATACATAGCGATGGCTATATCGTACATGCCTACACTGAAGTGTGTATATAAACTATAAAAAATGTTTATCGGTTATCGGTATTGGTTATGAGAAGCAGGAATTTATCGGTTATCGATATCGGTTGTAAAAAACAGTTATCGTGCATCCCTAATAAATATATATATATATATATATATATATATATATATATATATATATATATATATATATATATATATATATATATATATATGCGGCGTAATTTAAAAATGGTCTCACTCCCCTCCGGAAGCAGAGAGAAGCTTAGCAGCACGCAGCCTTTATTATTAATAAAGTTACAGACTTTATTCGCTGGTCAGTGTCGTTGTGTAAGTGTACAAACACAAAAATTACGCCCTCTGTTCGAGTCCCAAAGCACGAGCTCGGCAATCGCGGGCGGTCTTGTTTCATTTCAAATCGCATTCTCTACTTACCGAGCCACGATATAATAGCCTCACGCCCCTCCGGAAACAAATAGAAGGTTAGCAGCACGCAGCCAGCATCCTCCCAGGGTGAGAAACTTAGCTACATATTTTACCCCTCCTCGCATCACTGGTGCTTTACAACCATTGCAAATAGCAATTTTGTTATCTGATTCAGATATTTTGAAATACTTCCATACAGCTGACATGTTGAAGCCTGTTGCTGGCGCTAATAAACATTTAGCGTCATCGCGTGCGCATAGTTAACACCTCACCTTATCGGCCAGGCACATCGGCAGAAATTTTCATATCTGCCGATGCCGATAATTAACTTCTTAAGTTTTTATTGGCCGATACCGATGTCGTGCCAAAAGATGGGGCAAAAGGGACTGCTAGGAGGGGGAAAGAAAAAAAGAGAAAGAGGGAAAAGGGGGAAAGGGAAAAGGAGAAGAAGGAGAAAATTCTGCTGTAATTTCAGATGTTTTTTTTAAATCTTTTAAAATATTTAATACTGATTTGGCCAACAGGTTGCACACTCTTGCCAGGACTTGCACCTGGATCTTCCACCCAAAGGATGGATGTGTTACTGTTACACCACAAGAGTTGTGTTTTTTTTTTTTTTTTTTTGTGTGTGTTTTTGTTTTCAGAGAAAATTCAACTATATTTTAACAACTATTACACCAGAGTTTTTTTAGGAAACACACACACAAACAAATAGACCATTAGTGTCAAAACACAGCAATATTATAACAAAACTATATACATATGTATTTTATAATGTGCTCTTCCACTCTGTGATGGTCTGCCCAGATGCTGGACAGTACCATTTTCCACGTAGCTGGGTATGGCCCGTGACTTTGCTCTTTGACTGACCACATGTCTTGCACTGATAGTGGTGGCTTTCTTTGCAGTGTCGCTTCTTTGGGGGCTCCCCTCTTGCCACTCGCTCCTGATCCTCAAGAGCTGCCCTTCGCAATCTCCACTCCCGGTGCCGATTTTGAGAAGCTGGTGGTGCTGGAGCTGGCAATGGCTGGTAAGGTGACCAACCCTGAGAGTGAGATGCTGGAGCTGGCGATGGCTGGTTGGGGGACCAGTCATGAGGTTGAGGTGTTGGAGCTGGCGATGGCTGGTAAGGTGACCAACCCTGATGAGATGCTGGAGCTGGCGATGGCTGGTTGGGGGACCAGTCATGAGGTTGACCAACCCCCTGAGAGTGAGATGCTGGAGCTGGCGATGGCTGGTAAGGTGACCAACCCTGAGAGTGAGGCGCTGGAGCTGAGTGTTGACCCTGCTGGCAGTAGGCAACGTCAGACGAAGCAGGGAAGACAACCTCCCCAGGCCAGTGTTGTGCCCCAGGTGTACCTACTACAGTGGCTGTGTGAGCAGTAGAAAACACTCTGGCACAGCGGCGTCGACGAATCACTGCCTCACCCTCACGGTTTTCTGGTTCCTGGAACTCCATTACTGCATGGCCATGTTGTACAGGCTCAGGTGGGAGGTCCCTAGCCTCCAGGAGGGGATCCTTTGCCACATGGACCTGCTGAGGGAGCTGCACCCCTTGAAGTAAGGAATCACGGTCTGTTCTTTTCTGCCGATCCTGCAGCCTTCAGAAAAAATCAGAAGAGCACATTGTTTTCAGTTGTTTGGATTTTGTTTGGTATGAATATAAAATATGTTTTCATATCTAAGTGAATGTATGAAGACGAAAAATAAACTCACCAGGAGGACACTGTGGTGTTGTTTATTGTCACCAGTACCAGGTTGGTGTTGTCCATTATGGCTTTGCAATCTTCAGTCAGTTGTTTAATATGACAGTATGTCATGACAATTGACTGAGGAATGCCAAAAGTTTTGCCTTTGTTGTCCTTAGGCCTATTTCTGGCTTCCCTGTATTCTTTAAAAAGTCTGAGCGCAACACACTCTGAAATCCTGTTGACATCAGGTCTGTGGGCAGCTTGGCCATGAATCATGAACAGTCTGTGAATAGATGACAAGAATATATATATAACATTTACACCTATACATACCTTTATAAACACCCATGCATAAATATCACAGTTATATTACATGCATAAGATACCTTTCAGCTGCTTGCTGGCCAGGTGCAGAGCCACTGCGCTTCCGAGAAGCTCTCCATGGCCCTGGCAAGGTCTTTTTCTTAAATTTGAGGGAATACTTGGTTGGGGACTGGTCGATGGGATCCAGGCAGGAGTACAATCTCAATATCTCTGTTATTTCAGAGTTTGACAGAGCAGTGATTGTACGGTTGAGGCTGACGAGGTACCCTGCCAAGTCATCCACTGCCTCCCATCCGGGAATTCCTCTTGCATCACACCGGTTATCCTGTCAAATGAAATCAAACCCAATTCCTACAAAACTGATTTAAGAGAGAAGATAAAGCAACCAGCATTTCTGATGGTCAGACATTGGCCACTTTACCGGATTTGATGTGATGAGTCCACTGTCCTCAAATGGTGAACTGACAGGACTCTCAGAGGCACCACTTTCAGGTGTAGATTCCTAAAGGAATTATTTGTAAACAGTAGCAAGAAGGGTACAATGAAGTTGTGAAAATTTAGTGTGTGCAAACTCCGTGCTATATATAAAAAAAAGGAAATGTTTTGAAATGTGAATCATAGACCGCTCATCTTGAAAATCAGCATCTGCAAATAGTAAAGTTTCCGGTAAAATTGTACTGATTGTTGATTAAACTTATCACATTATTACCTGAAATGAAGAATGAATTGAGATGTCAGCTGCCTGAGATATTGTCACATCAGGACATTCATCCTCTTGAACTTCATCTTCCATCTCTGGCAGATTGACACCAATTTCATTCTGTGGGCTCAGCAGATCTCCTCTGTCAGACTGTGCCAGCAAATACTCAACGGCAATATGCTCACCTTAAAAAAACATTGTCAACAGGAAGAAACAAAGATTGAAGTAGAATGAGTGAGAAAATAGATGTGTAATCACTGAATGTAATAGCTGACAGTGTGGTCATTGAATATTGTTCAACACCCATTCTTCTTTTTCTTGAAAATCTTACCAGTAGGTTTCCCAGGGGGTATGAACTCTGGCAGAAGTGTACAACCCAGGACTCTGTTACTGAGAACATTCAAATTGGACATCAAGCGTACATCATAGATCTTGGTTCGTGATGTACCACTCATACTCAGAGCTTGCTGAGACCGATTGATGTTCCATCTGGACACCCCCTCCAGCATGTACATCTGCGTATGCAGAGCATTACATCTTCACCCTGGCAAGACAAAAGCATTGATAAGCACAAATAAGATTTTTTTTGATTTTGTGACAACTGAATACACAGCATTCATAAAAGAAATGTCTCAAATATGTGGAGTTTCAACTTCAACCTGGGATGAAACTACACTGGTGACGATGGAAGCTTTCCAGGGAAGAGGATCCTCTGCCACATCTCAGCACATCCAGTGTTTTGTCTCCCTTTTCTAACCCTGATCCTATATTTGTGTACAATTGTACTCCAGGTGGATCTTGGATGCAGGGTAAGTGTTTCTGCTGCACCTCCCACACACGAGTCATGCTCTCGTGGTTTATAAGATGCAAACCGGTGGTATCGGTCAGATCCCACATGGAGTCCAGCAGTTTCTGAATCAGGGCAGAGGCAGAGTTTCCTCAACCCCTCGGGTTCTCCGGCGGCAGTGCTTAGCCAGCTCACTGGAGGTGATATTGGCTAAAACCTGGCTCTCTGTGGGAACATGACCCCGACGCCTTTTGATAAGGTCTGCCCTCTTGGCCTCTTTGAGACGCTGAATGTCTTCCTTGTCCCACTCAAAAATGCAGCTGGAGAGCTTGGAGCAGAAGGTGCCATATAGTGGATGGTGCTCAGTTGTAAGGCCACTGGTGAAACGCCTCATGAAATGGAACACATCAAGTCTAACTTTTGATGTCCATGGGCGAAACCAAGTGAGAACTGTGTAAACTGTGAACACTCCTGTGTAAATAAGCAACAGACTGTACATTAATGTATTTCCCTTTGTTTCCCTGCATTGACCTTCTGTCAAAATTGTTTATGAAATGTATCAAATTCACTACAAAAAACATCACAACACACTTTAAAGATCACACACCTTTCTCACTGCAGCAGTCCCTGTCCACATAAATGGCATCTGGCTCTGGCTCCCCAGCCTCCTTGTATCTCTGGACAACGCCTTGACACAGCTCATCAAGGCCTGCCCCCTCACCAGTAGTCAACACACAATTGAGAACCAAATTCATTTCCAATGTTCGTCATCCACGTGGCTGTCTTCAATGCCACCCGCAAGTTTTTTTGTGATCTACATAAAAATTAACACATGGGTCAGCCATACTAAATAAACATAAATGTAAATCATATTTATATAGGTTCACATTTACCTTCTTAGTAGAGTCAAGCTTCAGGATTCTGCCATATGTCGATGTAATGACACCTTTCACTTCATCAATGTGGCTCAGAATCTCATTTGCATGAACTGTTTCAAACCACTGGGCCAGCGGCAGGGGGCTAAAGGGTGGTGGCTGTTGATAAACAGCTTCGGACTGGGTGAGGACACAAGACTTTTTGTGGACTTCACAATCAGTCAGGTAGTCTATGGTCCACCTTGCCCACTCCTCGCTGTGTATTTCCTGCAGGGCCTGTTGCAAATAGCTTGAGCTGTTCCCTACAGTCCTTGGTTTCAACAGCGTAACACACTTTCTGTCCAGTGCCAGATGAGTGGTAAGTACAGCTGGGAATTTGTTTCTGTGGGAGGGATCTAACTGTTTTAATATGTCAATGCTCCAAGGGCAGACAGGGATCATGCATTTACTGCACCTTGGATAGTCCCCTCCAACTAAATAATATTTGGAGTCGATATCAATGACCTCCCTGACCTTCGTGTAAATGCCCGAGTGGTGCATCTTCATGTTACACTGGGGGCATTTTAAAGGAATGCCCCACATTCTCATTGGAGCCCACAAAAACATGCGCTGTCGAAAGTAGCTGTGTGGATCAGGGGGCAATGTTGTGGGTTTACAGGGGCTTGGTGGATAAAACCAGTTCTGATGCAGGTCCTGCCTCAGCTGTCCTGTACTATTGTAAAGACACTGTGATATCCACTCCTGGTCTGCTGGCTTGATAACTTTCCCAAACTGCTTTGGGAGGAAGCTCACCCAATCCACTTCAGGAGGCCGCAGAATGTCATACGGCCGCCGTGGTGCCTGTGATGTGTGGGGCTTGGCATCATCAGCTTCATGATGGACCACTGGTGTTACTGGTGATGCTGTAGGAAGAGCGGCAGGAGGACCAACAGGAGCGGCAGGTGGATCCACGTGGACAGTCTCAATGTGCTGCAGCAGTCCGATAGCCCCCCAGGCTTTCACACCGCACTGCTCACACCGCTCTTGCACGTGGTAGTCAGACAAGTGCTGAGTGTACTCCTCGCTGCTCACCTCCTTGCTACACAGAGAGCACGTAACTGAGTTCACCTCATTTAATTTGCACAGGGCTGGGGCTTTCTGTACTGCTAAGCTGGTCAGTGGAGCCGGGTGTCTAACTGATCACTGATCCTTGAGTGGTGGATGTGCTTGGCTGACTCAGAGATG